ATATATTATATTGTATATTATATTTTATTATATTATATTATATTATATTATATTGATAAGCTCTATGAGACCTGACGGATTCCCCTCGCGACCCAGAAGCTTGACGTGATGACGCTGCGCGCTGCTGTCACGTCACAGCACGTAGGACCGTCAGGGCCCAGCAGAGCGGACAGCTAACAGAGAATGAAACCCACATTAAACACTAAACGTAACTTCTTCTCTTCTATACGTTGTTTATTTTTATTTTTTTTATTAACCTGAAGGTGTTTTCATTTGTTGTTCCTACTTCCGCTGTCGTCGTAAAGCGGGGTGTGTTTCCTGTCGCCGCTCGCTCGCGCCCCACCTTCCTCCTGCGTTGTTGTTTGTTGTCAGTCGCGCGCTGTGGCTCGCGCTGTGGCTCGCGCTGTCCTCCCCTGATCTGTGCCGACCGTTGGCCCGCCGCGCGCATGCAGCAGAATGGCTCGAGCGGTTCCAACGGCTCCGACGGCTGCAGCAGAGAGCGCCAGTCGCGGCCCTTCAGCCCGCTGCCCGCCGCGGCGACGACCCGGGTGAGGAGGTTCATTCAGGAGAGACGGACGCTGCCTCTACCCAGAGTGATGGTGGTATTCTCGGCCGCGGGTGACACCGACAAACCGGGCGATGCCATGTCCAGCTCGGACTCTGCGGAGGACGAGTTCCGAAAGCCGGCCTCCCCAGCGCCGAACTTCAGCCTGAGCAAGCCGCTCCGCCCCTCACTGAGCGCCGGGGAGCAGGAGGTCGGTAGGCCGCTGTAGCGCTCGGTTCTACCGGTTCAACCAGCAGTTTAACTTCAAACACCATATTTAACTTCAAACAACATATTTAACTTCAAACACCATATTTAACTTTAAACACCATATTTAACTTCAAACACCATATTTAACTTCAAACAACATATTTAACTTCAAACACCATTAATTAATAATAAACGTCAGTAATAATATAACTTTTCTTAGTAACTACTAGTGTAACTATTTACTGATATATTTCAGTAATAATATTACACTTAATATATTACTTTCCCCAGTAACTAGTAGTGTAACTAATTAATAATAAACTTCAGTAATAATAATACAGTAATATATTACTTTCTCTGAATTCTCCCACAGAGGATCAATAAAGGAACATTTCATCTTTAATAATAGTGTAACTGATTACTCATATTTCAGTAATAATATTAGTTACCCACCAAAAACATCATTAGTTACAACTACAGCTTCACGATACGATTGCGATTATTTTGACCGATATTGCGAATTGATTTGCGATTAGAGTTTAAATTCGGACCAAAACACAAATTTCTGCTTAAAACAAGTAAAATAAACAGTTTATTACAAACGGCACTATGAACCTAAAATAAACTGATGTTGCTGTGATTTATTGTCAATACCTGTGATAACTATTGTCAGCGCTCACAGTGTGTTTACCTATTTATAATAATATATATACTATATAATATTCTGCTCTAGTTACGTTGATTTATTTCCAAATCTTCACACATTTTAAAGTACGTGTCTGTTTTTATTGATCTTAAAGTCGATCACTGAGTCTAAAACCTTTCATTTTTAAACACGTTTTATTTAAATTAATCTAAATTAAGTCTGACACCAAACTGTGTCAGTCAGCCCTATGGATATTTATTATTTAATAAACAACAGCAGAAAAGTATTAAGAGTCACTGTCACATTATAATATATATATATTACAGTCCGTACCTGCGGCTGAATGTGGGTGTTTACAGGTGTCCGGTGGCTCCTGATTGGCTGTCAGGTGAGTTAACGAGCGAGTATGTGATGGAGAATAATCCTCTTACATACAGCTCTGTGGATAAACACAGAGGCTTTAAATTACTCGTTTTTTGAATGGACTTTGGTCTACTGGACGCAGCCGGTGAAACAACAACATCTGGTGACAAATAAATCAGCAGTTTTCTGTGCAGAGAGTGTGTGCATGCACAGGAAGCCACATTGAACTGGAAGTAATCTCACAGCGCCTCCTAGTGGTGACACAGTTAATGAGCTGTCAGGTTTCTGCCCTCACACTGTTTCTATCAGCTGAAGTTAATACAGACAAACCGCCCGGTGAAATATATGTATGTATAAATATAGCCTGAGTAAAAGCCACCAATCAGAGCGCAGCAGCGGCGTCTCCCTGGCAACCGTTCAAATTAAGGTCAGTTAGCTCTTCGGATTGTAAATAAACGAGGTTAAAGATAACGGTCTGCGCTGTAGGTGGGTCAATATATACCATACAGTGTAAGGAAAGGCCTGTAGGACTTACTACAGCAGTTACTTCTGTTATTTCATTACTAATGATGAATTTATTTTACCAACAAATGTCACAAACTCCTCAATAAAATATATATACAAGCATAAAACTAGATTTAACATATTATGAGTATGAACTTACACTGTTATGGATTAATCAGATATACATTTATTATCAGGAACATTATCTTTATGATGTTGTTGATACAGGTCATAGAAAACTATAATTATATTATTATTACTGTTTCATATATTTAAAGGTAACGTTGTGATTTGCCACCATACAAATAAAAAAGATGTAAGTCAGCTTTATGTGCTCACATCCTAAAAATAACACAAATGAACAAATATTTAAATTAAGAAAACACTCATCTGTCGGCAGAAAGTAAAACTGCTTCTTGCATTATTGAACAAATTATAATTAACTTAAGTTTTGAGCCTTTAGTAGTTATTTTCTATTTCATTATGAATTATTACAACGGTATCTTTTACTTGTAATCCTCCGAAGTACATCAATAAAATATCTAAAGCATTAAACC